CTTAAAGGTACATGGGACCAGCCTGTCCTTTTTCTAGAGTAATCTCTTAGTTCAGAATTTGCCATTGGGCTCATTTTCAAATCTCAGATAACCAAAACCTAATCTTACTCCTGTGAGGTGACACACACCTATACCTGGCCCTTCCTGGGCTCCCTCTCCCCAGCCTTCCTCTGTCTGGCTTGTCCCCAAAGTTCTAGTAATTTCATGAAGAGCAACTCCTACTGGGTACCAGAATGCTGTGGGAAACTATAGGGGAAGAATCAAGTCTTTGGAATCAAAATGGAATTTCTGGTCTACCATTTTAATATTGAATGTTATTCAACATCTCTTACCTGAAGTTCCCTCATCTCTAAAAACTAAGTCAATACTATTGACCTTATGTGATGGTTTTTGAGAGTTAAGTTAGCTAATGTTCATATACCAGTTGGATATAAATAGCAACCCTCAATCTGCCTTTGGGTTGGAGTCCGCTCTCTCCTCCTCCATCCTTTGCTCCCTCTTTATCTCTCCCTCTGCCTTTCTTCCAGGCCTTCTGCAGTGTAGTGAGGACACAGCTCTCAAATAAGTCATAGTCTAATGTGAGAGACAGAAAAGTAAATCACTGACTTTACTTTGTTGATGCCATAAAAGAGAAGGAAGCAGTGTCTGGCAAAGCTCAGTGGTCTCTCACCACTAGCTCGGCAGGATCTGATCTCCAAAAGATAAAGAACAGAATGAGTCTGATTGGGGTCTGCTGCTGAGTGCGCCTCCAATAGAGTATTTGATTATGCATGAATCATGTATTAGTGTTGCATGAGAAACTACTCTCTTTCTCACCCCCAACAAACATACTCCCAGCTCGTGTGTCCTCCAAGCATTTTCATGACTTAAATGTTTTGCTGCCATTTACCACATAACCCTTTACTACATGATTGTTGGTTTTGGTCAGTGAACATGCTTGACTTTGTTCCTCATGCCAATAAAGATGCGTCTACTGACTGCAAAGGTTGCTTTTTCTCCCAGTGGAATCCTGTGACCCGAGGTATCTACGAAGGAAGAACAATGTATAGGAGTAGAATGTAAAATCATCTTCTTATATACCCTTATATTCATACTCTTCAAAGATGTGATTAAGAGCAGTTGATCCATCCCTTATATGCCTTTACACAACAAGAAAGACAGCATGCAATACTACTCGTCTTTGATCAGAATAAGTTCCTTTCAACGTGGGTAACAGGAAGAGAGTTGAAAACCTATCTCCTATACAAAGCTAATCTGGAAAATTAAGAGAAAACTTCTCCCTTTTTTCCCCTCAGTAGTAGAGTTTATTCCCAGTATTAGCTAGAGAGTTGCTTCATGTTTCAATTTAGGAGCCTGAAAGATGCAGGTGATGGTGGTGATTAAGGCATATTCAGAATGGGAGCCAGTTAGTTTGGTTATATGGTCTGGAATATAAACTCCTCACCAAATTCCAATGAGTGATGTCACATCCTCAGCTTGCTTGCCATTCTCCAGCATTTCCTCCTGGAAGTAATGAGCTTTTTAGGTGTCAGAGGTTTCTACCTCATTTTCTCAGACAATAGGCAGAGAATGATGTAATTTATGGATATGATTGCTTTAATTAATAGCAGAGGAAAAGTGCTTTTAATTCTTTGGTGGAAAGGAGATCTTCCTTTAGGGGAAAATTGTTATGATTACTTGTGATTAATAGCATACTTCATACTCAAGATTACAGGGTTATAAAAAGCAAGCTTGATTCATTTAGGAAAGCCAGCAAGGATAGGACGTGATTTTGCCAAACTGCAATAATTTTACCAAGCACTTTCATAGATACCATGTCATTTCGCTCTCAGTGCAGCATGGCGAGGTAAGCAGGGCAAGAATCATCATTCTAAACTGTAGATGAACCAACTGTAGGTCCCCAGAAATGAGGTGGTTTTTCCCAAGGTATCATAGGTAGCATGTCACATAGGCGGACCTTTTCTAACTTTGGATGTGCTGTTTTTCTACTAAACCCTCTTTCCCCCTCAGCTTTAGTGTGCATATCTGTACACCCCCATATTTGGTTTAATGTGGTTGAATTATTCAACTTAACTCAGTCTTTTCAAGACAACCATCACATAATCTAAATTCAAATGTAGTTCTTTCTTCCTAGATTACTCCTACCCAAAAGTAGTTTATATGTTTATAAACTAACAAAATTAACTTAGCTAAAAAAATACACTTCAGTAAAAAAAAATATAAACCTCTAAGAAAGTAGTATAATTGCATATTATCTTTGCACTAAGCACTATTCTAAATGCCTGAAATAGCTCTGTTACAGAGAAAACACCTACTGAAAGATTCCTTTATGGCAAGATTCAGGAAAAGCACTAAGACTCCATTTGGTTCATATGCAGTGATGTATTGGAGAGGGTTCTCCGGAAAACCAGAACCAATAGGAAATTATTTATATATATGTACAGAAGTGTGTATATATATATATATATATATATATATATACACACATATATATGAAGAGTTTTATTAAGATTTATTATAAGGAATTAACTCACACAATTTTGGAGACTGAGAAGTCCCACGATCTGCCATCTGCAAGCTAGAGACCCAGGAAAGCTGAAGGTGTAGTTCAGTCTGAATCTGAGGTCCTGAGAACCAGGGGAGCCAATGGTGTAGATTCCAGTCCGGGCTTAAAAGCCTGCGAATCAAGAGCACCTAGGATATGGGGAGGGGGAAGGGTAAGCAGTGACAAAGCGAGAGAGAGGCATGGACATATATACACTGCCAAACGTAAGGTAGATAGCTAGTGGGAAGCAGCCGCATAGCACAGGGAGATCAGCTCGGTGCTTTGTGACCGCCTGGAGTGGTGGGGTATGGAGAGTGGGAGGGAGGGAGACGCAAAAGGGAAGAGATATGGGAACATATGTATATGTATAATTGATTCACTTTGTTATAAAGCAGAAACTAACACACCATTGTAAAGCAATTATACTCCAATAAAGATGTAAAAGAATTAAAAGAAATAAAAAGGAGACAAGAGATTTACTAACTAAATGTTACACATAGATCTTATTTTGATCTGGATTTAAACAAATCAGCTATAAACAAAAACAAGTAGAAGAAACTTGGAAACTGACTAGATATAAATGATATCAAAAAATAAAGGTTAATTTTTTAGTTATAAAAAAAAAAAAGAGCACCGAGGGCAGAAGATTGATGTCCCAGATCAAACAATTAAGCAGAAAGGGTCAAATTTCTCTTTCCTCTACCTTTTTGTTCTATTCTGGCTGTCAGTGGATTAGATGATGCCCACCCTCACTTGGGGGAAGAGGGCAAAACGCTTAATATTGAGTCCACCAATTCAAATGCTAATTTTATCTGGAAATGCTCTCACAGACACACCCGTAAGTAACGTTCGGCCAAATACCTGGGTATCCTGTGACCCAGTCAGGTGGACTCATAAAATTAACGTCACAGATAGGGAGTCAGTGCCTCCATCTGAATGATGTGGAAAGAGAAGCAAGAAGGGAAGCCAGGAATGATTGGCTACCACGATGATAACTATATTAAAATTTTTATTCTTAAAAATAGAAATTTTTATGACTCAAAAAATTCAGTGTCATGTGTTGCCCTTGACAGAAATGGTTGCTAATCAGAACTTAGGAAGATGAGTGACCAGTGACCGAGAGGCTCCCTAGTGGTAGGGGCTGCTTCTTAGGCTGACATCAGCCAAAGTGACTTATTATGTAGATGAAGCACATAATATTGAGCAGAAATTCTCATACTTAGTGTGGTCAGAGGCCCCTGAAGAGCTTCTCGAAATTTCAACTTAGAGTTCCCAATGGTTCTTTTTTTTTTTAATTTAATTTTTCTTTTATATTGGAGTCTAGTTGATTTACAATGTTGTGTTAGTTTCAGGTGTACAGCAAAGTGGTTCAGTTATACATATACATATATCTGTTATTTTTCAGATTCTTTTCCCATATAGGTTATTAGAGAATATTGAATAGAGTTCCCTGTGCTATACAGTGGGTCCTTGTTGATTATCTATTTTATATATAGCAGTGTGTATATGTTAATCCCAAACTGTTCTGATTGACTTGGGGCACCCAGGGATCTGCATTTTAATTCTCTAAGTCATTCTGTTAGAAGTGATCTGAAGACCACAGTTTAAGAACTTCTAATACCTAGAACAGTCAAATCCTTAGAGACAGAAAGTAGAATGGTGGTTGCCAGGGACGGGGAGAAGGAAGAATGGGAAGTTCATGTTTACACGGTTCAAAATTTCAGTTTGGGAAGATGAAAAATTCCTGGAGATGGGTGGTGGTGATGGCTGCACAACAATGTGTATGTACTTAATGCCGCTGAACTGTACCCTTAAAAATGGTTAAAATGGGGCTTCCCTGGTGGCGCAGTGGTTGAGAGTCCTCCTGCCGATGCAGGGGACACGGGTTCGTGCCCCGGTCCGGGAAGATCCCACATGCCACGGAGCGGCTGGGCCGGTGAGCCATGGCCGCTGAGCCTGCACGTCCGGAGCCTGTGCTCCGCAACGGGAAAGGCCACAAAGTTAAAATGGTCAACTTTGCCATCATGTATATATTATCACAATAAAAAGAAAAATAAGAAGTTTGAATGCAAGCGGCAGTCATTCTTTAAAAATATTGGTGTATCTCTGCTTTCTTACTAAGTATTGATAAAGAAAATAGACATCTCCAGAGTAAAATGTCATAATTGGTGCTCAATTATGGATTCATGCCGTTCGGTAGTTCATCATTGCTTTATGACAGAGGAAAAATAATGGACTAAATAAAAAGATTTGCAACACTTAAATTATTCTTTATTAGGAGAAAGTAGATTTCTTGTCTATCCATAATTTGGCCAAATTAATGGGGGATTAGAGCTGCTCGTTCTGCATCCTTATGATTTGTTCCTCTACCTGCTGCTCTCAGGTGGATTCATCTGATTTTGCCCGATCTCGGTTTTGCAATAAAAATGTGTAGTGATACGCATGCTCTTTTCAGGATAGGGTGTGGGCCCACGTGGGCAAGAGCCTGAACTGCATTATTGCTATGGTCGATAAACTGATTGAAAGAGACGGCAGCGGTGAAGGAGACGATGGCAGCGGCAAAGATGGAGAAAAGGGCCATTCTCTAGGGGACTCCGTCATAACTCATCCACAGGGTAAGGAATCATTTTTTTTCCAGTCATTGACGAGTAACCAAAATGAGGAAGCCAAGATACAACGGGATCGAAAAAGAGGAGTCAACAGTGCCTTAGATGAAAGTGCTGATAGAGTGTTTTTCCACTGCCCTGGCTGGGGTGATGGAAGGCTATTTATCAACAGTTGTGTTTTCGGAACTGCTTGCAGTGCTCGTTTTTGTTTTGTTTTTGCTTCATAAAAGCCCTCTTGAAAGGAGAACAGTGTTTTCTTTTAAAGAGTCTGACATAGTTTAATCTACTTTTACACATTCCTCCAAAATTGTATTAGGAAGAAAAACAAGCATCTGAAAACGCTTAGAAACTTTGAGGGATCTCAGGACACAGTATCTCAAAATGGTTCCTGAAAAGAAGTCAGTATGATAAAAATGTTCCTTGCCTTATTCTGAGGAGTGATTTTGTGAATTATTTCAAAAACATATAAGAAGTTTTAATTCTGTATAAGAAGAATGTTTTTGTGTGTTATTCCAAAGACATATTTTCACAGGGTCTAGACTTTCATAGATATATGTATATGTACACACACACACACAGATGCATACATATGCATACACATGTGGGTGTCTAGTCTCTGTAGATAGACACACACACACACATGCGCGCACACACACACATATATATATAGAGAGAGAGAGGGATACTTTCAAATGTATGGCTTATTGACTAGCAAACATGATAATTAAAATTTTCACTACAGTTGCATCCCTATAAATGGCTTCCTTTGTTAAAATTTTTCATTAATTTAATTAATTTTGACAACAAAAACTAAGACAGATACCTGCATTTCTCTATGATGGTAAGAACTGCTCTTAGAGTGGTCCCAGCTAGATGCTTAAGTGTTTGGAAAGAAAAAGTGTTGCCCTATCCTCTTCTTCCAAAATCTGCTTTTCCTTTTCCTTAAGGAAAATGAGTCATAATAAAATATGGATGCTTATCAAATTAAATTTGTTTTCTCAATTTGTTTTCCTGATTTTTCATTACTCACATTTTCATCAGGAGTTTAATTACGGGAAACATCAATCTTTCATCACCTGATTAACAGTAGAACCATTTCCAAATCACTTTTGTAAACAATGGCTTTCTAAAGTTCGCTTACTGTAGATGGTCCTAATCCTCTAGAGTACGTTTCTGAAGGTGGAAAGTTTACACTGGTGTTCTTTATGTTCTACTTGATCTAACTGTATATGGGGATTTTTTAAAAATAATATCAGTTTTTTTTCTGATTTTCTATAATGTTTTAAAAATAATATCAGTTTTATTAATGAAACTAGTCCAGGTCCGTAACTTTACATGAATCAAAATGAAAGGCTGTCGTAACTTATGTCAAAAGGAACTAGTATACTTCAATGTTCTTTAATTGAATATTTATTGACCATAGTGATGAGCCAGACACTGTGCTGTGCTCTGGAAAATGAGGTAAAGAAGCAGAATCCATATTAGTGACTTGTTTTGTCCATTGATGGGTGTTCAAGGCATAATAATTTTTAGTGAGTAAGATTAAGAGATTAAGGGATACTGAATTTTGCCACATCTTTTTGTTTTCATCTTCCCCAAAACTTCTCATTGATGAGAATGGAGTTCCAAAGTATTTAAAATTATGCATTTATTCATATCTTATATTTTATCAGAAGATTATATCTGTGCGATCAAAGTTTCCAGTTAAGAAGTAAAAACATTTGGTAGATAAATCATCTGTAAAATTAGATGAATCACCTTCATTTGAATGTAAAGCATTGTTTGGATATAGTCTAAAACCAGGTGGAATTTGCTCCCAAAGTAGAATTCACAACTTGATCAGCTTTGTAGATGGTTAGAGTCAAATTACAACACAGTGCCCTGTAACTGATTTTATTATTTCTATTTTATTATCCATGTTTATTTCAGCCATTCTTTTTTGTGTTAGAAACATTTTTAGGAGACAAGGCACTATTTAAATGTGCAAAATAAAATCTATACTTTGGTCTGAAAATTATTCAATATAGTATTATCAAATAATTCTAAGTTAAATCTTTTGTTAACATCTTATGTGTTAGACGATTGTGTATAGTACGCATGTTTTGGCAAGGATAGTGGTACATAAAAGAGGATGCTTAACAAAGATAAATAGATGTCTTACAAATGAGTGTGTGCTCAAGTATACTTAAAATATATTATGGATGTTACTACATATTTGGAGTGGGATTGATTAGCTCAGTCAGTTATTTAATAAAAATTTTTTATTAAATAATAAAAATAATAATCCTTATTATTCTTATTTTAATCTTCCTCTTAAGTTAAGGAAAAATCACTTTCAGTTTCTACCCATAAAACAATGCAGTTAAGAAATTAATACATAGTGGCTTTCTGAACTAATAGAAAGCAAACAACCTAAAGTCACATATTTACCTCTACTACTCCCCCCAAACTATTTCAGACAAAGATATTTGAGATATACATTCACTAATGATATGTGCCTCAATTTACCTGTATTTTAAAATTTTATTAGAAATATTAATTTTAAAAATTTGAGAAGGAAAACAAATAGGATTGCATACGATTTTTATTTCCATCAGACATTTGAATATGTCTTGTGTTACACACACACACATACACACACACACACACACACACACACACACGAGTAACCAAACTGGAGTGCACGATATAAATACAGATGTACTTCTTGATATCCTGCATGTCATTATATTATGAGTATTTCCTGATAAATATTCTCTGGAAATAATGAAATTATAATGACTATAAACTAATTCATCAGAAGAGAAACCATTATTTTAGATATTTAATTATTATAATAATGCTACAATTAGCATGTAAGCATCTTTGAATATGTAAATCTTTAACTACATCTCAGAAATTGTCCCCTAAGTTCGATTGCTACAGGTGGAATTATCTTGTAAGGAAGAGTTACCCCTTCTCTCCAATGTAGTTATTTATACAATTACTTGTTTATATCAGTGTGGACTTGTGAATAATTTTATTCTTTGGTTTATAAACCAATAGTGTTATTATTTATTTTGGGCTCCAGTTGTTCTAGAGTTAGCTCTTGGGAGCTCTCAGTGGCCTTTTGACAGCTTCTCCTGCTACAGGCTACATACTTTCTTACTTACTTACTTACTTTTTTATTCACTCCCTTATTCTCTGGTATCATGAGGGACTTACTCTAGTCTGATCTGTATTTGCCCCAACTCTAGGTTCAGCTATTTTCCAAGGAACCCTGGTTTCTTTTACTGGAGAATAGCGTTTAGAAACCAACATTTGGGTGGGTAGGGACATTTTGATGGTTCTTTGTAACAGTAGGTACTCTTACCAGCAGTACCTGTAAACACTCTTTTAACTTCCCAGCCTTAAGTATTTTCACTGATTTCATGCCATTTGGGGTGAAAAAATCATATTGTAATTTCTGATTATTTGTGACTTGACATTATATAACTTAATACTATATTTCAAAAAATTAGTTTGGTAATTAAATCCATTTCTTCAATAGCACCAAATTTATCCCCAGCCCATAGCTGGGGTGGAAAATCATTACATTCTTTTCCTTTTATAGTTAATTAATAAATTGACTCAGTGAGTGATTTGAGTCATCTAGAGTTCATTGTTCTATATAAGGTGCTAAATACTGATAGAGATTTGTTGTCACATCACTTATTAGTGATTATTTTCCTCACATTTGATTAATTTTTCCTTATAATTAAGTTCTGCAGATATTTTTAATCAATTTTAGTCAATACACTAATTTTGATCAATTTCTGATCAATTAATCAGTGGATTTAGTCAAATTTTGTTTATGTGCTTTTGACTATTGTGTTTTATATTGGGATACATTTTTTAAAATTTAATTAATTAATTAATTTATTTTTTGCTGCATTGGGTCTCTGCTGCTGCGCGCGGGCCTTCTCTAGTTGCAACGAGCGGGGGCTACTCTTCGTTGCAGTGCATGGGCTTCTCATTGTAGTGGCTTCTCTTGTTGTGGGGCATGGGCTCTAGGCGCGCGGGCTTCAGTAGTTGTGGCACACAGGCTCAGTAGTTGTGGCTCGCGGGCTCTAGAGCCCAGGCTCAGTAACTGTGGTGCACGGGCTTAGTTGCTCCACGGCATGTGGGATCTTCCCAGACCAGTGCTCGAACCCGTGTCCCCTGCATTGGCAGTGGATTCTCAACCACTGCGTCACCAGGGAAGCCCTGGTATACATTTTGAAATTTCATAATTAACCTTTAGACAGTCAGTTTTTCTTTCTTTACCATCATTTTATTTTTACATTATAACCATAATTGGTGTTTCTTTGTTGGTTAAACAGACGGTCTTCTGAATTGTTGCTACATTTATTCACTTTTTTATGTTCCTCTATAACCTGCAGATATTTCTCTTTTCAAGTTGCAGATTTTTATTTTTATACTGTATCAATTTAATAATGTTTTAAACCTGTAGTTTTGAAGGTATTTTTGTTTGTTTTAGATCCAGGATTTGGCAGTATATCTTACTTCATAAATTTCGGACTTACTACAAATAGTGCTGAGAGAAGTAAAACTTTCTCTACTGTTCTGAGCACAAATAATAGATTGACTGTTCCCAACTCCCATGGCTTATATATATATTCATATATTTTCTTAATAAACAAGATTGTCCTTTTATTTTTTTGTACACTTAAACATACTTATAAGCATCTTCTGTATGTGTAGTACCACATGCTTTCAATTTCATAATAAATAGAGGACTCAATGATAAAACCAGTGAATTTAGAATCTTAGATTGTGATGTGCCCTTAAGGATTATGTAATTAAACCTCCTAAATTATGTTAAGATGCTTATCTGTAGTATCTGCCAATTTTCCCCTAGCCTGTGATACACATCTCCACTGATAGAAACCGTTTTTTATATCCCAAAATGGCATACTCCAGATGTTGATCTAAATATGTTTTCTTTAATTTTACCCGCTAGCCCAGATCTAATCATTTACAACAAACGG